TGCACATAGAGATGGTATAGCCTAAAGCAGGTGTCTTGTTGCAGTAAATGGGATAAGCAGACAAGAGTTCCAGAGGCAGGGGACCCAGCAGATAGCATAATGGTTACAATGCTGGACTCCCATGTAATCAATCACGGTTCACGTCCCGGACCCAGCAGCTTAAAACTCATGCCAGGCGTATGTGCTTGCGTGCCCAAGATCCCAGGAGGAGAATGGAGGAGAGGGGATTGTAGTGTGGCTATCCCCCCTAAAGGGTAATTTCTCACTTTCTGTCTCTCTGTCTCTCCTGTGAGCACATGGGCCCTCTAGCAAAAGTCTCTCTCTTAAAAAATAAAGAGCTCCAGAGGCAGAAAGCAAAACTCTGCTCTCCCCTTAACCCACTCTGCACGAAGAAGCCTTTGACAAGGCCAGTAGCTGGGCCCTTGATCTCAGTGGTCCTGTCCAGAGCATTACCCGGCCCGGCCCAATCCCTGGCCTGGAGATAACTGTGAAGCCCACGTGATCCTCCTCCAGCTAAAACAGATGTAATAACATTGCAGGCGCAGGGTGGCAAACAAGCCAGGGAGATGGCCCATCTGTCTTCCTAATTGTCAACTCTGCCCATAATAAGATTTTTCTCCCTGTCACACCTTAGGCTGCTACTGAACTGAGGCAAAACCTAGATATCCATCTTCCAGCCATGAGCAGCGGCCTTCACAAAGCGCCAGGGACGAAAGAGGCTCCTTGGCTAAGAGAAGCAGAGAGCAGTGGAAGGAGCCCTGCCCAGAGGTCAGGAGCTGGGACTTCCTGTTCATTACCAGCTGTTGAGCACTTAGGTAGACCTTGCATGAAACTGAGCCTCTGTTTCCTGCAAAATTAAAATCCAAAGTTCTGGAATGGGGTCAACGAAGGGGGCTGTGAATCATGTGATGTTGTGGGCCAGGTATTTTAGGTTATGTACATTTGCAGGAGGGTAGCCCTAATTTTCATCAGAATCTCAAACATATATGTAACACTCTCCCACCCATAAAAACAGAAGTTAAAAAAAACTGAACTAGACAGCTTCCCTGCCATGAGCACGTATTGAGAAGCTTCTGAGCGAGGTGCAGAGCCAGCGATGTGATAGGAAAGTCTTGCTTTAAGGTACTCAGTGCAGCTGACACTCACTGGGACTGGAGTCCAGTCCAGGGAGCTTTGGAAACCAAGAAAAGGCAGCACGTGAGCTGGTCAGAAAAGGTCTTCCAGAGGGGAAGAACTTAAGTATAACGTCAACACCGAAGGCTAAGTGTGCATTCACTGGTGGGACCAGCGAAAGGGTATTTCAAAGGGCAGCATGTGCAAAGGTAGAGTGGTCCAGAAACTTCCTGAAGGGTAAAATTAGCAGAATATAGAGCTGCTCATTGCAGAGGACCAGCAGAAGTGGTAGAAGCAGAAGTGAGGCTGTAAAGGTAGGCAGGGCCCAGATTGGAAAATGTCATGAACACCACTCTAAGGAATTTTACATTGTATGCCATGAGTTCTTTCTGTTGCATTGTCTGGAAAGTCCTGAGGCATTTTCTGTCTCTCCTGTGAGCACATGGGCCCTCTAGCAAAAGTCTCTCTCTTAAAAAATAAAGAGCTCCAGAGGCAGAAAGCAAAACTCTGCTCTCCCCTTAACCCACTCTGCACGAAGAAGGCTTTGACAAGGCCAGTAGCTGGGCCCTTGATCTCAGTGGTCCTGTCCAGAGCATTACCCGGCCCGGCCCAATCCCTGGCCTGGAGATAACTGTGAAGCCCACGTGATCCTCCTCCAGCTAAAACAGATGTAATAACATTGCAGGCGCAGGGTGGCAAACAAGCCAGGGAGATGGCCCATCTGTCTTCCTAATTGTCAACTCTGCCCATAATAAGATTTTTCTCCCTGTCACACCTTAGGCTGCTACTGAACTGAGGCAAAACCTAGATATCCATCTTCCAGCCATGAGCAGCGGCCTTCACAAAGCGCCAGGGACGAAAGAGGCTCCTTGGCTAAGAGAAGCAGAGAGCAGTGGAAGGAGCCCTGCCCAGAGGTCAGGAGCTGGGACTTCCTGTTCATTACCAGCTGTTGAGCACTTAGGTAGACCTTGCATGAAACTGAGCCTCTGTTTCCTGCAAAATTAAAATCCAAAGTTCTGGAATGGGGTCAACGAAGGGGGCTGTGAATCATGTGATGTTGTGGGCCAGGTATTTTAGGTTATGTACATTTGCAGGAGGGTAGCCCTAATTTTCATCAGAATCTCAAACATATATGTAACACTCTCCCACCCATAAAAACAGAAGTTAAAAAAAACTGAACTAGACAGCTTCCCTGCCATGAGCACGTATTGAGAAGCTTCTGAGCGAGGTGCAGAGCCAGCGATGTGATAGGAAAGTCTTGCTTTAAGGTACTCAGTGCAGCTGACACTCACTGGGACTGGAGTCCAGTCCAGGGAGCTTTGGAAACCAAGAAAAGGCAGCACGTGAGCTGGTCAGAAAAGGTCTTCCAGAGGGGAAGAACTTAAGTATAACGTCAACACCGAAGGCTAAGTGTGCATTCACTGGTGGGACCAGCGAAAGGGTATTTCAAAGGGCAGCATGTGCAAAGGTAGAGTGGTCCAGAAACTTCCTGAAGGGTAAAATTAGCAGAATATAGAGCTGCTCATTGCAGAGGACCAGCAGAAGTGGTAGAAGCAGAAGTGAGGCTGTAAAGGTAGGCAGGGCCCAGATTGGAAAATGTCATGAACACCACTCTAAGGAATTTTACATTGTATGCCATGAGTTCTTTCTGTTGCATTGTCTGGAAAGTCCTGAGGCATTTTTTTGCATAGAAAAACAGAAAAATAGGCCCTTTCCCAACAACCTAATAGTTTTAAAAGTCAAAATGAGGACCAGCAGATGGTGTAATGGTTATGTCACTGGACTCCTACGTAGTCAACTGCAGTTTGAGTCCCGGACCTAGCAGCTTAAAACTCACGCCAGGTGCATGTGCGTCCATGCCCAAAATCCTCAGAGGAGAATGGAGAAGGGATTGCAACGTGGTCATTCCCCCTCCCCCAGGGTGGGGTGATTTCTTGCTCTCTGTCTCTGTCTCTCTGGCCAGTGTATGTGCTCTATAGCAAAACGAATGAGTGACTCTCTTTAAAAAAAAGAAAAGTCAGAATGAGCCACCATTCCTAGCACCAATTTCCCAAAATGTTGGGCAGAAGCTCTGCTAGGTTGTGAGCAGAATAGGCAATTGGGATGAGGGCAGGAAAGAACTGCTGCTCTTGGCAGGGTGCATGGGCAAGGGCTGTCAGACCAAGGTGATAAGTACATGCCTGAGGGTGCGGAGGCTGGGGGGCAGCAACTGCTGCCGGTCTCTGCCTGTCCCTCTCTCTGCATGCAACTTAGATAGAGCCCTCCAACTGCCCATTTTTATGGCCGAGAAAGGAAGACACTGATGGGCTCAGTTGGGGGCAGCACAAAGGGTCATGCTCATTTGGGACTCTGGTTATCATTTGGTAAATAATGGCTTTCAGTCCTTCTAATGGGCTCTGCAACTCACCGCAGGGCCCTGTCACATGCTGCCCCTTTGCCTGAAGTCTCTTTCTACCCTCAACTAGTTAACTCCCGTCAGTTTTCAACCTGAGCAACTGACTACCAGACCTATTACAGGTTCTCAATGCACCTCATCCTTCCGTTCCAAAGAACTCCGCGGTGTGCAGAATTTTGTATTTCTCTGAATGATTCGATTCTTGCCAGTCTTGGCCACTGAGCTAAGTTCCCTGAAGCCAGTTTGTACCCGTTTGTCCCCCTCTGCATCGTACTACCTTGCCCAGTGTTTGCTGATTGAGTGAAAGTCTGCCCTAGCCGGAGCCATTCTGAAATCCGATGTCCCCAAGACACATTAAGGCCCAGTGAGGCTGAAGGCTGGACTGGAAAAGGCAACATTAGAAAGGACTCAGCTTCTAGTCCAAGTGCAGCTCTGTCTCTGTCATGTCCAGAGAGACTCTGAGGAATTCGGACTTCATTTACCCAGGCAGTTCCTGGGGAATCATGTTGATTCTCGATTTCTCCCCAGGTCTCCACCTGGCCTCTGGTGGCATTTGACCCTCCCTTGACCAGGCCTCAGGGGATCATACTCAGCAGCTGAGGAAGGGGTGATCTCTCTCTCCTGGAAAGTGTTCCTCCTTACCTACATGCCTGAACCCCAGGGCGCCTGGAATTAAGACTGTCGGGTTCACAGCCCTGGCAGATGTCCACGGCAGATGTCCAGGGCAAGAGTATGTTCAGTGCCGGTGTAGGAGCCGTGGGGCTCAGCTTTCCAACTCCCATACTCGCTAGTCTGCCGGTCAAAGATTTGACCTTAAGGGAGAGCCGGGAGGAAAAGGGGCTCAGCAAGCCGTGCAGGCTAGGCTAAGCGCCCCTGGCGTCCGCTGCACCCACCCCAGAGTGGCCTCACTGCCTCCACCCAAGGTCGCGGCCTCATGAGAGCTCTGGAAAGTTCAGCCAGGGGCCGAGGGGTGCTAGGGTAGGAACTAGGGGGCGGCTTTTGCGAAAAGAGAGAGAAACTAAAAGCTCGAGTCCAGGTGTTCTGGGAGGTCGGCAGCAAGGTGCCCCCAGCTCCGCAAACTGCATCTGCAGCGATTCGCTCCGAAAAGCTGGGCGGGGGCTGCACCACCTGAGCCGCAGGACTAGGCGGTCTCCCCTCCCCACCGGCCTCCATCGGCATTGAATTAGGGCGCGGGCAGCAGGTCCGGGCTGGAAAGGAAGTGGTGCCCCTCCCTGGGCAGCCCGCGCGACCCCGGTCCCCTCTCCCGCACTGTCTCAGACCTCTGGCTCCGGGGCGAGGGCGCCAGTTCAGCCAGGCTTCTGCAGCCTCTGCCTTGGAGGGAGACGGGGACGCGGCGCTGGGAGAGAGCGAGGCGCGCGGCGCAGGCTAGAGGAGCGTGGCGAGGGCCGGGGCCAAAATCCGGTCGCTCAGGGCGGGGTGCTGGACGCCCCGCAGACGCACCGCCCCGGGCTGCGATCGCAGAGCCCCTTACCTTGGCGAGCTGCAGAAGTCTGACCTCAGGCGGCTCGGGGTGCTCCGGCCGACGCTGCTTAGACGCACACCCCAGCTTCGAGGCGCACGCAGCCGCCGGGTGCACAGTCTGCGTCCCGGGCGCGCACCCCCGGGCTGGCGCACCCTCGTTGTCCAGGGCGCGCACACCCTCCAGGCGCCCTCTCGGGCTGGCTGGGCCTGGTCCCGGGGCGCTGCGGGACTGGCCAGGCGCCGCCGGCTGCTGCTTCGCCCCGCGTCGCCGGCTGCCAACCAACACCGCCCGAGTCCCCGCCTTCGCTAGGGGGGAAAAAAAGACTCCTGACGCGGCGCGGGCTTTGGTGTGTTGGGGGGCAGAATTGCGAAACCAAGGGGAGGGTCTTAGCTGTGATAAACTCAAAAAGCCCTTGGACAGAGTTAGGAAGAAAAACTTTTGGAAAAGAGAACGGAAAACTCCTAACCGGTGTATAGTGCTTTCGAGAATGCCAATTTCACATACACTCATCCTCTCAGGGTAGAAAAGGAGCTCACGTTAAGACGGCAATGACTTGCCAGGGCAGCACTAGAGCCCAGCTCTGGTCCCCGAGAACCCACGCGCAGTGATGTCCTAAACAGGGGAGGCGAAGGAGCCAGGGTGGAGTAACGACTTCTACCTTTGACCTAAGTCGTCTTTTCTATTTCCTTGTTTTCTTCCCAGTCATAGTTGTACCCAACGCAAGAATCATGAC